GGTATCTTTGCAAGTCTGTCACTTTTGGTCTGAAGGGGTTGTCTCAGGGTATCTTTGTAAGTCTGTCACTTTTGGTCTGAAGGGGTTGTCTCAAGGTATCTTTGTGCCAGGTCTCACTTAGATTAATGGAAATAGAAAGGAAATGCAGGCGTTGTGGAATCTGAACAATAACAACAAAAAAGGTGTTTGGACGTATTGGACCAAAAGCATATGCTCTCCAAGTTTCTTTCTCAAGAACTACAGGAGGGGAGTACAGTTGAAGGAAGGAGAAAGAAATAAAATACAGTGTATCTCTCACTACACAATGTATTGTGCCAACCACGACGAGTATCGAAACTTATCAGACTTACCGCTAAGCCACGAGTGTGTATGTGTGTGTGGTGGGGGGGGGGCAGAGCACAGATGGCCCATTGTGTAGCTCTGTGCTTAACTTCAAACAAACATCTTTCATCTTTTAACCAGAGAGCTTCGTATTTCAACCCTGCGTCGCCATCTATCGGGGAAAGCGTTTGATAATTGGTTTTCATAGTGTTGTTCTTTGGATCGGTGTTTTGATTATTTCTTTTATCAAATATTTAAAACAGTGTTCATTTTGTTGGTAGAACTGGAGAACACAGTTAAAAATAAACAGTAAGGAAATATTTTATTTACTAAACAAACATGGAATTTACACCAGTTTACTGCCGCGCTTACATTAAGATAACTTAGAAAATAGTTTAATTAAAGGTAATTTAAAGAACAACTTTTTTAACAGCCACTTTAAAAAGGATAGATAAAGTTGTTAGCAGTTTCATTCTGACTGCTTAACATCTGCTATATCAAGAAAGCCGAGATCCTGAGAAATAGTTATACAAACACATAAACATCACATGAAGAGAATTTCTACTTATTTGTTATTTGGTTGTTGTTAAGCGCAAAGCTATACAATGGGCTAAATGTATTATGCCCACCATGAGTATCGAAACTAGATTCTTAGTGGCATAAGCTCTCAGAGTTACCGCTGAGCTGCTGGTGGGGAGGCACATTTGAAGAGATTAAATGAATTTAAACTGTATATATATATATATAATGTATTTATGTATGAATACCTAAATATTGTTTAACAATGTCTATGCACAGCATATATAGTCATACATACACATAAGTATTTCAAACTCGTATTTCAAAGTATTTATAAGTATTTCAAACTCGTACAGTTAATTCAGGCTTTTGGCGAAAAATGAAAAAGTTTTCAAATTAGGTGATGTTTTTTTCGCGAATTCATTCTCTTTATTCCCGTCTATGTATATAGGTACAATGTGTCATGAAGCATCTTTAAATACAATATCTTAAGCAGTCTTGAATGTTAACGTTGTCCTTTAGAGGCTAGCTAACATGATGCCAAGTATCTGACGACGTGACACTCCCAGCAGAACGTGCAGCCTGTGTTATCAGAACCTCGTGAGACGTCCTTGAATACATGCCACACCTCATGCTCCGCGAACTTTAAAGGACATTGTATATATTTAATGAACTCATCCAGAGACATCCCCGCTATTTTTAACGTCGAGCAGCCTTTACTAAGCTATTGTTGCGATACTATGTAGAATCGTTTATAGGTTTGGTTTCTGTAAGCCTCGAAGTTAAAAGTTTTTACGAGGAAATTCTGTGATAAACTTCATTGTATAGCTTATTAATTAACAAACGGAACGCTGTGACTCCTCTGTTCACTTCTATTGTATGTTTGTTTAACCAAAAAAAAAAAAAAGGTTCTTGATAAATGAT